CCCCCTCCCCCTTCCCTTCCCCCGTTAACATCTCCTCCCTCCCCCTGCTCTTCCTTCCCTCGGCCCCGCGCGCTCGCGCGCTCGCTCGCTCGTCGCTTCTCTCTCCTCTTTAAACGCCCACTTCGGATGGGGAAAGAAGACAACTTGAAGTCAAGTTGCAATTAACTTCCGCGGCAGCCCCAGCTCCGGCGGCGGCGGCAGGAGGCAGAAGCCGCCGCCTTGGAAGTCCGACGCCGGCGCGCCCGCCCGGGGAGCCGTTCTGGGTCTCGGGCCCGCACTCGACAGCCACCGCCGCCCCCAACGCCCATGCCTGAGTGAGTTCTCCTCCTCCCCCCCCCCCTTCTTCTTTTTTGCTCCTTCTCTTGCTCTTCTCTCTCTCTCTCTCTTTTTCGGAATCGATCCAAACTTCTCTGTAGTACCCACCTATGGTGCCCCTTGCTGGGGCGACTCGGCTCCCCTCTTGTGGGCGCGAGGCGGCAGGGGTCTTTCGCGCAGCCGGATCCCAAAGCGGTGGGCCAGTGGAGTGAGGGCGAGCCACTGGGTTGGGGTACTTGAAGATACCATTCGTTCTGTCTCGGGGTGTGGACTCACTAACACACCTGCCCGGCAGACCCGGGCTGAACAAGCTCCTCCAGGACCTCGGTATGGCCTCTCTTGGAAGAGAAAAGTGAGTCGAAAAGACCGAAGGAAGCAAATGGGGAGTAGGGGAGCCTCTCTGTGCGCCCCCGGGCCCGGCAGCAGGCAGAAAGGCGCCCGGCTGAGTGGGCTGGGGGAGTGAAACCCTCCCCGGCCGGGTCGCAAGTCGGCTGAGCATCCTTCCCCAGTCGGTCTCCGCCTTCCTCCGCCCCCCGCCGGCGCGGCTGCTGGTGACCAGCGCGGCGGAAAGGGCCCTGGGAAGTTTGTGGCAACTTCTCCATCCCGGGAGCCACTCTAGCGCCGGGGCGCTCAAGTTTGAGCCGGGAGTTTGCTAGCGGCGGCGCTCCGCGTTCGAGCCCTAGTCCGCTGTGGCGAGGTCGGTGCTGGAGGGATGGCCGGCAGGAACGTGGGTTTCAAGTGGGGCTGGAGGCAGGAGGAGGTGCTCCCTCCTAGCGGGAGCTGGGGTATCTCAGGTACGGCCTCCGGGTCCGCACCGTGGCCCCCTCCTGCGGTCCGGACCCCAGCGCGGCGGCCTTCTCCGAGCGCTCCGTTGCTGAAGCTCCCAGGGCGGCGGAGCGTAGGTTTGGGAGACTACGGTGGAAGGCGCGAAACAGGCAGGTGCCAGGTCTGGGGAATAACACGCGCGTCCCGGGGAAACGCATGGAGTAGGACTGTTTGGGGATGACCCCAGGAAACTGAGAGGAGAAGGATACAGGGCTCTTTCTCTTAGTTTTGGCCCCGGCCTCCAAATGAGCGGTGCACGTTTTACTTAGAAGTGTCAACCACAGGGTCGCCTCTCAAAGTGCCCTGGTTGGCAACTTTGACCTCTGCGCCCTTCCCCCGTGAACTTTCTCAGAGGCATTCCAGACTTCAGGCAAATGTGACTTGGACTCCACATGGTTGTAAAAGAGACAGGGGATACCGAAACATGCCCTATTCCCGGGAGAGAGTCTCTTTGCCCAGACTAATTGGGGTTCTTTGCCTGCATCCTGGGAGGCCGAGGGGACCTGGCTTTCCCAAGAGGACAGAGAAAGGGGGTAAGAATGAGTAAAACGCGGCCGCACTGTCAAGTGTTGCCCTAAGCAGTCCTTGGAATCCAGAGTGTGTTTTGCTACTGATAGAGTAACTCATCCCGTTGAAACTTTATTGAGATTTACACCCTCTACAACGTGGATTTTTCTGAGATGTCAGCAATGTGGAATTCATTCTATACTGTCAAATGTAGCTGCAAAAAACCAAAACGTACTTTAAGACTGGAGAAAGCCAAGGTTGAGGTATTTACTCTAAAAACCTTTCATCTGCTGTTTGGTGCTAGTGCTATGATTTAGCAGCAGCCCTTTATTTCTATGCATATTATTTTAGTAGAACAGTAGTACATTCATATACTGGCTGCTCCAGTCTGCTGGCAAACATTAGCATTCAAGCTTACATTTTTGACAAATGTGCAGACAGGAATAGCATGAATAGGCATCTTAAATATTAACAACCTAAGCATCTGTTGTGAAACAAATTTAATATATTTACTCTGTTTTTCTCACATTGTTAGAAAAGGTTATAATAAGTGCATAATTTCAACTATAGTTAGCAGAAGTAACTGGCTGTATCTTTCACTACCTCTCCAAGTATTTAACACAATCACCAGCCATAAATACTTTAATTAACTTGGTTAGGCATATTATTAAATACACTTCAGACAATGTGCATATGATGTAAAACAAAACAGTATCAAAATATGTATCCTATTTGTGCACATTTTAAATGACTATGCATTTTATAAATATAGCAAATGTGTTTGTTCCTCATCTCCATTTGACACTTTATTACTTCATATTTTTTCTAATGGAAACAGTATTTTAAATGTAGAGTTGTTCAGTCATATGTAATACATAATAAGTAAACAGTAGCTATAAAATACAAAGCATTGTTGAATTTAAATATGACTAGATGTAACAAGATTACACAGGAGAAATAAAATCACTGTTCAATTTTGTATTCCTTTCTGAATAATGAATACAAATGATGGATGAAAAGGAACAAATAGGGATTTCCTTCCTAAAGTACTGTTTCCTTAAAATGGAGTGAGGGAGGGGGGGATAGAGAAAGAGGACCTAAAAAACTTCCAAAATTCTGAACAGTTATTTACAGAATCAATGCATTCCTCATTTTCCCACAAGCTGAAATATGTAATAAATAATAGTTCTTTGTATGTAAAAGTATTTAAAAGGAATGCCTTTTGTTCAGTTGTTTTAATAAATTAATATATTCTTTGGTTGATAATCTACAAAAGTAGCTCTTTTGTTTCCCGTGATCTTAAACAAGACCAACAACAAAATGAATATTGGTTTATTTCTGCAAAGAAGTCTGTTGCCAGCTATATGAACCTGATTGGATAAGATATGAAAATGCTGAGTGATGGTTAAGAAAGCCTGCATTAACTTAGCTAAGACTAAAAGATCTGGAGGAGATTTTCAATTATTTTTTTTTCATGTGGCAGGTTGTGGATTGTAAATTAGGCCTAAAAGGTCAGGTGACAGGCACCTGTTCCTCATTATTGTAAAAATCTTTTGGTTACAAACACTATTAAGTTAAACACAACACGGATATACAGCAGGGACTCTATAAAGCACTCTAGTGGTTTTTCATCTGCTCTGTAAATTTCCAGAAGGGCCATACATAGATGTGCCCTTTACGTAACACGTCGTTTCTTCCATACATGTTGTCTTGGATGACTGTAATTTATATTACATTAGTACTTGGGATTGATGAAGTATATAAAATAAATGCATATGACTGAATCAGTCTTCAGACTGTCTAGACATGTTGCAGTCGAATGCAAAATACTCTTTTCAAACCCCTTTTTTCCTTTACAATTCTAATTGTCAAATTTTTGTCCATGTTTTAAATAGAAACCTCCCCAAATTGTCTTTTATACTTTTTAGATAAGATGAGCTCCCCTTTTAAATGATGCCATGAAATATTTTGCTCCATATTTGTGTATAAGGAGAAAATTAGTTGCTATATACCATCATAGCTTTGTAGCATATATAAAATGGGAAGAAAACCACATTTTGCATGAATGCTGTTAGGAAGGGGATCATTGTTTGAGCTTCAAACTTGCTGCTTCTCTCAGAAGAGTTCAGTAATATTCCTATTGGAATTAAGTGTGATGTGAGTTTTATAGCTTGTTTACTGTTATTTATTTCAGAGAGCAGAATATGCAAACATATCGAAAAGACCTAAGTAGCACAAGGTTGCAAAATATTAAAGATTCCATATGCTTTTAATTAGCAAATGAGGATTTTGTATAAATTAAGTAACTTAGGTTATTGAATTCTGTTATTTAAATATGTTCTTTGTCTCTTTGGTTTTATATAGCTTATGCTTATTATATTAAGTATTCATTTTTAGCTTTTGTGATCAGATTACGGGACAGTCATTACTCTTGCTTTTCAAATTGATTTAGGTTGCGAACCCCAAAACTCTGAGATGATTTTTACAAATTGGTTTACGTTTTGACAGAGTTAAGTTAATTAGTAGATCAAGCACGAAAAACCATCCGTGGTAGGGTATATTTTCTGGTAAAATGAAAGTTATGTTTCAGCATGATGAGCATCAGGCTTCAGTAATCTGTTCCTCTTGTGGAATGAACACTTCCTACTTCGAGCTAGCAGGCACCTACTGTTTATTTACGCTGCATTAAACTGACAGCTCAGCAATCAGAGGAAAAATATTACTTACCTTCCTGAAGTAAATACCAGTTTATAGGTTAGTGCACGTATTTATATTCCTGTCACCACTAAATAACGGCTCTGTCTCCATTTTAATATCTACCTGTGCTGTAATCCAGGGCTTCAGACTCTTCCTGGTTGGGGGTAGGAGGTCAGGAGGAGTTTTTCTTATCATTTCCCAGTGGCAAAACTTTAAAGAGAAGCAATTTCATCTTCTCATTTCTGTCATGTAAGAACCAGTTGAAAGAAATGTTATGCACTTTTACTTTGCATACCTCAACTATAACATCAAAATCCAAAAAGAGTCTGCATGCCACTTAAAATAGTCATCCTGAAGCAACCTCCAGACAGATACCTTCAAACACATTCAAGTGTGTGTTTGCTACATTAACATTCTACAGAGTTCCAAGTAGATTACTTAAACTATTTGATTTCTTAGATAATTACTTAGAAAAAGTATCTTCCCTTCCAAATCTTAGATGGAATGTTTCAGTTTTTAATGGAAATCTGCAAATATGAGTACAAAGTAGGGCTCATTGATTGGTTGATTGATACTGTTGCTGTCCCCTGAGAATATTCTTACCACTTTTACTTCTTGTCTTGCTAATTTGCCAACCTTAAGATAAAAGAGATTGCTACTTTCTTATAATATTAAATGTTATTTGTTGTTTTGTATTTTAATTAAAAGTTTGTTCTCTGCAATGACCCCTTGAAACTTCAAAATGTGGTTAAAGGTGAATTCTAAAACTCATAATTAACTTTTGAGAAAATGCTCGTTTTCGCTTACATTGTGTAAGTAGCTCTTACACTCGTGGTCTACACATAGCTGTCAATTGCTAATCATATATTCCATTGACATCAGAGCCGAATGTGGTCTTAATACAGCATACAAATCAAATCTGTTACACAAGTTTCTTCTCTTTCGCTATACCAAAGAAAAAGTGTCTTACTATGGTAATTTAAATATCGTTCATAAGTGCTATTCTCAATGGTAAGTCTATTTAAACTTGATGTCTTCATAGAGTGTGATCAACACATTAACATACATTATTTAGTATTTTTGAACTTACGCCAGGTGTACCTTTTGCTGTTTATTTTTCTAAAGTCTTCTTTAAGATCAGATATTTCGTTTCAGAGTAAATAGATACAGATTGTGTGTATATATATTCAGAGTGAGATATAGTAGTGTAGCGTTTCTCCAGCATATTGGCCTATTTTTATTCTTTCAAGTTATTCTGTATCACTTCCACAGTTGTTGCTGTCAGAAGGTTTGTAATAGAAATTCTAATCATCTCTTTCAATGGACTTTCAAGAATGTAATTCAGTTTATGCGGTGATCTACTGTAGTTTACGAGAGATGAAAATTAGTTAACTGATACTCCAGCGTTTATGTCCTTAGTTTCTGCTGAAATTTATTAGTCCAGTTATTTAATATTTGGTAGAGAAGTATCTTGCAGTCGGAAATTAAGAGTTGTTCAAGTTTCCAGTGGAGAAAAGAGATTGCTGGGTAAAACATTTAACTGTCCAATATTTTATTATGCTCATTCATTTTAGAGCCCGCTTATTATTGCATGCGTTTTTGAGTACCTAGGGGCGCAGGACCCCCAAATGAGACTGAAATGCTCGCAGAAGAAGCAGTTGTCAGGCTGCACCTGGATGTGCCCTTACTAGAATGTCTGTGGCCCTGCGCGGGTCCCCCGCCTCTGCAGCCCTTCCCCCCATGTGTGCAGGAAATAGAGGGTGTTATACTGGGTGAAGTGGGTGGACTCTACCCAGAGCTATGACCTGATTTGTGACGCATCTTCAGAACTGCAGTAATGGTCCAGCTGCTTCACAGGCAACTGGTAACCACCTCATTTGGGGATGCTTCTGCCTTGCTGGCGGTGCCAGGGAGAACTTCATCATTGTCACCTCATCAAAGACTACTTTTTCAGAGCTCTCCTGTAGGGCTAGCTTCTGAGAGCAGCCTCTGATATTTGGAGGGTAAGTGCCAAAAAAAGTTCCTACAGTCAGTTCCATATGGAGAACCAAGGTCACAGCCACAGTGTGAGATAGGCATTTGGTGGCGGTGGTGAGGGGCAGGGAGGTCTCTGTGTTTGGAGGTTGCTTTTTATCAGCTACAGCTGATTTGGGACCAGATACCAAGAAAAATTCTTCAGTGGACATTACTTTTTGAGTTGTGAGATATGATAGCAAGCTCCCAGGAGAAATTATTAAACCTTCTTTCCTTAAGATACTTAAAGAAAAAGGTAATGAGTACTCTGTGTGAGGGGGAATTCTTTAGATGCAGTTTTCCTGGAAGCAAGGCATATAGTGGAGCTGATTGCTAGAGGTTCCTTTCTAGTCTTATGCAATGGTTTCTGATATGCCGTTAAGAGCATGTAAATGACAATTTAGCCTTTTAATGTTTATAATGTTAAGGACTTTAAGGTAAAGGACTTTAAGGTAAAAGAGGTTTTATATTATAAATATTTTATTATAATAATTATTGTAAATAAAATAGAACCTAGTATATGCAGATATCTTTTGAAATGGAGATAGTCTTAAGTATAGCATATCCATAATTAGCTGTTTGATGTTGAATGCAGTTGAGTTTTTCTATTCCAGTGAACCAGACAATGGAAATTATTTGGGATTAACAACAGGGCTATGTGATTCTTGATACAGCAAACCTTTCTTCCTCCCAGAAAGTATTTTTATCAGTGAATGAAGTACTAAGTTAAAATGCCTACAATTTTAAAGTTTAAAAGAGTTTGTAGAATTTATAAAATAATCTAAGTGTTTTTCGTTGTATTTTTGCCAACTGAAATGCATATTGAAATGTGCTGTTTAATGTTAGCTTTCTCCTGACTGGTAGGAAAGAACAATATTTTAATAACTACACTTTAAAAAAAATTCTTAGAGGTGGGCTCTTTTTTGGGTGGTTTAGGAGGACTCAAAAACAATTTAGAACATTATCTTAAAAGTTTAAAAATGACAGCCTTAGTTTGTATGGAGTCATTGTATTTTAATAATACTGTACAGTTATTAGTGTTATTAGAGCAGTAGACAGTTAATTACAGCCTTTTGGAGACATGTTAACTGTATATTAACAATCATGTTAATTGAATGATGTATACTCTTACCTACAAGCTGCTGCTTGCTGGACTCTTTTTAAAAAATTCTTTTAGGATGTGTAGAGTCAGATTTTTGGTCCAGAATTATCAAAGGCTTCCGACTCCAGCACCTTAAATTTTAAAACTTTTCAGTGGGATATAACATTTTCTTCCTGTTCTTTTTCTTTGTTTATAATTAGTTAGTATTGGCTTGATGGCTTTTGCCAGTGGCATTAGAAATTGTTGTCCCTCAGCAGTTTTTGCATTCCCACGTTGTATGTTGAGACGCCCACATTTTCTTGTTTTCTGATGACTTTGGCCAAAATAAACCATAAAAAGCTTATTGAATTGATTTAACACCTCCTAATACTTCTTTTTTGTAGAATCATTTTAGTCACTGTTCCGTTAGCCAAGTTATGTTTCTTTACAATTCTGTACAGCCTAACATTTAAAATACATTTGAGCAGTTGATCACAGTGGTAGTTCTAAGTTTTTGTCTTTGTCCAAATCATGAACCTGGGTTTTTGCTTTGTCTTGTGGCATAGCAGAGTAACGAGTGATGGAAACTAAAGGGTCTTAAAGATGGACTTACCCTTACTTAGGCAGGTCTACCCAGTTGGTTAACCATTTGAATTCTCACGATGAATTTGGACATGTAGACCTCGTAACCTTGTAACATGGCCCTTAAACATGGCTTCGTGTTCCCAGGGTCTGTATGAAGTTTATAGGTGCTTCTGTTATTTATTTCTACAAGTTATTAAACTACAGCACAGTAAATTGTCAGGTATGTGTCTGTATTATATAAAATAGGAGAAACTTTACAGTTAGCATTCTGTGCCTTGCACATAGTAAGCACCCGTTGAAGAATTTGTAAATCAATAAGATAGTGAATTTAGTTTATGCTAATTTTTGGAGAAAGAGACTTTTCTCTCTAATTTTCTCTTTTTACTGGAGTTATCTGAACACTTAATCTACCCCACTTTTCTGGATAATTAAATGTTTTTCTCCTTTAACTATCTGCTTTGTGTCACTTTCTGACTGTAGTTACTGGGATTTTCTGTCTTATCCTCATTACTGATCCCCAAGTAAAAACGAAGCCCATTGCCTTCGAGCTGATTTCCGACCCATAGCGACCCTATAGGACAGAGTAGAACGGCCCCATAGGGTTTCTAAGGAGCGGTGGTGGATTTGAACTGCCGACCTTTTGTTTAGAAGCTGAGCTCTTAACCACTGCACCACCAGGGCTCCGTCTGACCTCCAGGATTAGGTTAAGTATATCTGTTCAGGTTCATGGTCCTTTGGTGTTTGCTTGTGGTAACAAACTGTACTGGTGTTAACACAGAGCACTTCTCTGAGGTCCTTGTGGTTAGGCTACCATGGAATAGTCTTTTGGATATTCCGGAACCAAAAATACCAGGACTAGTGGCCCAAGGCCAATTGACCTCTAACTATTCAAAAGATTTTTTTTGCAAGACCCTATTGGATAAATGTCAGCTGTGATTATTGGGTAAGAAGACATTATTCATTGCAGCTATATCATTATTTCAAAAAGTTCTCAATTTAGGGTGTTTATATGAATGAAGATTTAACTCCATTCCTTAAAACTAATACTAGAATTGCTGTGGGATTGTGTTAGCTCCATCGAAAACCTTCTGAAAACTTCTGGGCGTTCTATGAAACTTATCCAAAAAAAAAGATACTTCCTTTTAAAATTTCTTTTCTGTTTTTTTTTAGACGTGTGCAACTGTTTGCAAGAGGGTCCTATTTAGCTTACACAAAGGAAAGTATTCGTTGAGTGGGTGCATTGCTGTGTGACCTATTACATTATCATGCACATTCTGTCTCTTTAAAAACAGTCTCCTCTATTTGCCCTATTAATTGTTGATATGTTGCCATCCACGAGACAAAAATTACAGCTGTAATTAAATAATCATGTGATGCTCCTTAGTGCCAGTGAGAGCAAACTCATTTTTCCAGGCCCTGATGGTCACTAATTATTGTATTACTACTGGCTTGCTTTATTTTTTTTAATGATTCTCTATGTCTGTAGATTACTTACCTACTGTCCTTCTTTTCAAAATTAAAGAAAGTAGAGACCCTTAGGCCAGTTAATTGGCTACGGTTCCTCAGGGAGGTAAGTTAGATACACCTTTTCTGCTTTCGGTCACCTGGTAGCTTCTTTGGGGAGCTACATCAATGGTGTGGTTGCCTGCCATTTAATTTACGCTAGTGTTTTGGCTGGGATGGAGGCATATGGGCAATGCCAGGAGAATTACAAAAGGAGCCGGGTATTAAAATTCAGAAATGATTAAAATTGAAATAAAAGGATGCTGCTGCTTTGCCAGTACTCCAGCAGTCATAATGACACAGAGAGATGAGTTTCCACCTGCATCTTTTCCTTCTTTCTCATTTCCTCTTGTTTACTGTTGACACATTTTCCATATGTCTGTCTCCTGTCTCTGTCTTTTTTTGCACTGTTATGTATTCCTACTTCTCTCTCTTTCTTTAAGCATGGAGAAGCCTACTTAACCTTATTATAACAATAACAGAATAGGTTATTAATATTTAATATGCCCATGATTAAAATTTCTCTCCCTTAAACATAGGTCAGCTGTATTATTATTAACTGGCATGTAATTTTTCATTTAAAATATTCTTATTCTGCCCCTTGCTGTTTCTGAAATGTAGTCTACTTTAGTAGTGATTTAATACATAATGTTTAGAAAACTGTGGTCGGCTAGTGAGAATAGAACTTACCAGCCATGGATAATCAATTATGCATGAATTCAAATGTAACAGATGGAATCTGGTGAGTTAAAGTTTCTCTTTGCCTTAGTGGATTTTTTTGTTGTTTGTTTGATACCTGTCTCTTAGATAAACATCTACTGTAACATGTGAGAAATTGTCTTATATCCTTCTTTTCTCCTTAAAGTGAACTTTTTTTTTTTTTTTTTTTACTTAAGTTTAGGAGTAGAGACTTTTTATGGGGTCTTAGAGAATGAATAGATTCTGCCCCTTGGTTTTATAGATATGGAACTTGATCCTGCTTGACTTAGGAAGGGTCATTCAGCTAGCTAGTATAGGAAGAAGCAAGACACAAATCTAGTTCCCCTATCTTTTCTCCGCTACTTTTCCCACTGTGTTATTTACCCTCTCTCATGTGGGAATTCCTTAATAATAGGGGTATTACACTAATTCTGGGTTTTAAAGGATTTCTGATGAAAACTGTGATAGACTAGTTTTAAATTGCATAATACTGTCATGCATGCAGGTTATTTGTGTATATATAGCATATTATGCTCCATGTACATTATATGTACATTCATTCATACTCTCGAGTGTTTGCCAAACAATTGGATTTCTCAAATCTATTGAAAATGCCGCAGGATTTGGTTTCTATCCGAAACTGTGGCAGACACCAGCCGTGGACGTACCTTTACTTTTGCTTACAGTGCCATAGATTTTCAGAGACAAGACCCCTCTGTGCAGAGTGAACTCAAAAGTTCTTTCTGAGAGCCTTGTTACCACCAAGGAGAGAGAAGATGTTTAATTCCCAATAAATAGGATGTGACTATGTAGTGATTCTTCAGGTGCGGAGCAGTAGAAGAACAGTGGGTGTTGTCCATCTTTAAGGCAAGACAGTCTCAAAACAGTTACAAGCTGGTCCCCATCACATTTATCATAAATATGCTGTTTGTTTCTTTCCCAAGTGTGCTTATACGTATCAAAAATTACAAAGGAAAATAGTCTTTACAGAGTAAACAAAAATAAATGATTAAAAAATAGCCTCAAGGCTTACTAGTTCTTTTTTCCCCCCCCTAACTTATACTGTAGCCTTATTTATCAACTTTTTGCTTCACATCAGTGGGAAGTTTGCATGTATATTTA